TATTATCTCTTTCATTCTTCCACACCAGGTTTCAGAAATAAATACCTTATTTAATGAAAAACCATAAGAAACTAAATTTAAATAAGGATAATTAACTTACATTTCAACGGGTTGTAATTTTGCGACCGTGCTATTATGCTGAAATAGTGAGGAGCGGACAGGAATGAATTATTTTAGAAAATCAACATTTTTTTATTTCTTTTTCGGACGTTTCTACCTTGATGACCCGGATCATCCTCAGCGCCTGGGTAGAATAAAAAACTTATGCTGATTGGAAATAATAATAATTATAAACACGTGTGTGGTGTTTAGTGACAGTCAATGATTATTCGGAGACCGTGAGATGCGGTCTGGTGAGACGTAGGCTTTAGAAAAACATTTTCTTTATCGTGCTACGTTTCGGTCTTTATTGAGATCATCTTCAGGTCTCAAAGTGTTTGTTTTCCTTGTAGATGTGTCATTATTGTGTGTCGTGTTGAGAGTGCCCACGGTCTAAAACCTACATCACACCAGACCGAATCTCAAGACCTCGAAATAATCATTATACAATAGATATGTTAATAATACAAATTTCCGTACTCACATTGCTGTTATTATTGCTATGTTATTATTGTGGTGTCATGTTTGTCTCGTGTGAAATCGTTGAAAAACACGAATTTGTATTCTTCTGTTTTTATATGACTGACAGGGTGGAGAACGCGGCAAATCAGGAAATTTTCTTTGATCATGGGCGGCTTTATTTGACTCAAAGGAAGTCGTGAACGGGGATTTTCTGGATTGTAGTCGGAGTCTATTGGAAGGCACAGTTATTAAAATTGGAAAAGAAATTCGTTATTATGGACGATTATGGAGGAAAAGAAAATGTAAAACTAAAGTTTGATAGTTTATTTGTTTATGATGGCTGAGTTTTCGTGTATTTTTTTTTACGAATGTTCGCAACAGCAAAAGTCATATAAACCCTCAGGGTGCCGGTGTTTTTTGAAAAAAAGTCCATTTGTAAGTATGTTGGGTCGACTTTGTGCCATCTTTAGTGGGAAACTCGTGCTCCTTTTCTCCGTTCAGTTCCTCACTGAAGACGGCGCAAAACCAAACGGGCCTGAGTGACATCAAAACCCGCGGTTGTACGAACCCAGTCATTTTCAGGCCAGTCTAAAATTAATACCGTTTTCGAATAATTACAGGGACGAATAATTTTGATTGCAATGAAAGACAGGAGACATGAAGCTTGGTCCGTCTATGTTCGCTTTGACATTTGTGACCTTATTTATTTATTTTTTAACGAGGGTTTGCAACAGCAGAGGTCATATCAACCCTCAGGGTGCCGGTGTTTTAAAACAAATTTGTAAGTATGTCGGGTTCGAATGCAGGGCCGCTGGATTCGAACTCGGGACCTTTACCTTACAGCCTAAACCGTTGCGGCCCCTGTAGCCCCCTGCGTGTATCTGTTCTGTAATTAATGCTATTTGTGTCTGTTAAAGTAAACCATTTCTAGAAAGTTTTTTAATTTGTATTTTGTCGAAATCAAAGTTGTGTTGTTTTTTCAAAATGGCCTATACATACGGTGGGATTTAGTTTTTGGTGTTTTATAGTTATAGATGTGTCGTTTTTCCAGATATTGCGATGTAATTCCAATGTATGTAGCTGGACAATTCACACAATTAATTTTATAAATTACACCGGATTTGTAGGCTGTCGTTGTTGAATGGTCTTGACTGCTTCAAAGTAAGCAACAAGAGCATTCACATATCAAACGAGTGTCTTACAAGGGAGCATTCTTAGACCCATCCTTTATAATATGCTTATTCTTTATTGTGGAGGACAAGACGAATATATGAGGAAAAATGTTCGCAGTGTACATTTACACTGAAAAAACGGTCTTGCCCTCCAGTGTGCATCAGTAACAAGCAGATACTGACATTTTGTTGAATTGACTTTGAAAAAAAAAAAGTGAATGTACTGTTTTGTGTGTTTTGAATGCTATTTTAATGGGGTCTGAGGAGAGAAATCTGAACCTTCACACAAGTACAACAAAAGAGACAAACATGAATACTTTGTAGAGATGTAAATATTTTATTATTTAAGGTTAGAAATTAAATTCCAGCATAATAGGTCAGATAGGTCCGACGCATGTTCTGTGTACGCCGAATGCTTCGTTTCCATTATTCCAACTATCTACTACATTGAAAGGCAAAAAAGTGCCTCCATAAATATTTTCAATTATCTCTTAGACAATCCGCCATTGATTATCTTACAACAATATTTGATCTGTTTTAAGGGATTAGAGGAAAAAAAAAACAAAGATAAAATCTCCCACTTGTGTTTGCAATTGGATTTGTAAATAAATCTTTGTATAGTCGAGTTTTTTTTTGTTGGTTTTTCAATAAAGCTTCTTTCTAACGTCCCGGTGGTGTGATTTTTTTTAAGTAGTACAATTTTTGAGTTTCAAATTTGTTTGAGTGATGGTTTTAACTGATACTGATTCGGCTTGAATCATAACATTGTTGGAAGATGTAAAGCATATGTGGCCAGGGTGCTTAACATTCCCAGAACAACTGTCTTAGAGAGTAGAACGTTTTATTGTTTCGAATGTTCTCCGTAATCGACATTTTAATACTGTTGAGATCAACGAACGATGTCAGCAAGTTAGAAACGTTAATGATAGTTTAAGCATTGTACGGCGAAGAGTTTCGGAAGCTGGATTACGTGCGAGAAGGCCTGCTACTGGTTCAGAACTTCTGACAAGGTTGAGAACAGCTCGTTTAAGAAATCAGTCAATTGGCCTGAGCAAGATTGGACTAAAATTTTGTTTTCTGATGAGTCAAGGTTTTGTTTTAGGTCTTCTGACGTTGTTTTCAGCCTTTCAAGCCAACCTACAAACCCGACCGCATCTCACGATATCTGAATAACTATCGATTAACGGTCACTAATCTCTACACACACCAACCTACAAAGTTTATGAGTATTTTCGTACGCCGCAAGAAACATTGAGGTACATAATCGAATTGAAGAAAACATACTATCAAACACTAAATTTATTAGTCTTTCAATATCATCGCAAAAAAACAATGGGGTAACAAAACGAAACTATGTGAAGAACGTAATGAAAACGCAGATGCACGCACTATCAAATCGATTTGAAAGACCTTCTGACGTGTCTTTCCTATTCTGACGATGAGGTCCACTGTAAGCACAGTCACTCCATGATCGATTTTTCTGTCGAAGTCGTCGGAACACGTTTTCATCAGAACTCGCATATCCACTTCAATTATAACCTAATCTCTTTATAGATTTGGAGGTAAACATTCACCAAAGATTTAGCACGAGTAGTGATGACATTCCGTTTACCCCTTGTTTCCAATTCTCCACCCAATGATTACGATCAAAACAAATTAAAAAATATTTATTGTCTTACACGCTGAACGTCTATCTACCCGTTAGATGTCGCGACGAGGGGTCAAAGTTTACCATACTTTCTCTATATTATTTATAATTATTTGGAGATCGTGAGATGCGGTCTGGAGTGACGTAGTTTTAGAAAAAAATTTTTCTTTATCGTGCCAACGTTTCGATCTTTATTGAGATCATCTGCAGGGATCCTGGGATTTATAAACATTGTCTAAATTACATGTTTTTGTATAATTTAAAAAATGTTTATAAATCCCAGGTCCTGAAGATGATCTCAATAAAGATCGAAACGTGGCACGATAAAGAAAAATTTTTTTTTTAAACCTACGTCACACCAGACCGCATTTCACGATCTCCAAATAATCATTGACTAACGGTCACTAAACACCACACATTATTTATAATTAAAAATCCATGGTGTCTGCGTGATTCGATCCAGGACCTTAGCTGGACAATGCGAGGCCACCACGATTCCCCTGGACACATATTTACATACATTTAAATACTTTTATAGCCGAACTTAAGTGTACGCAGGTATATAATAGACAATTAAAAATAAACTAATAAATTAATTAAATATAAGCGAATACTGGCAACGTATCGCTCCCGAAATCGAAATGCATAATTAATACTGACGAAGGATAAACTCTGAAAATGATTTCAGTTATCTACTTTTTACTTGTTATCTAAGGCATTGGTTGAGATGAATACGTTAGTGTCACGAGCGGGATTCGAACCTACGGAGTGTCGACTCAATACACAGCTGTTCTAACCACTTGAGCTATCGTGAACAAATGTTAGAGCAGCTGCGTATGGAGCCGAAGGTCGTGGGTTCGAATCCCGCTCGTGGCACTAATATTTTCATCAAAACCAAGACTTTATATAAAAAAATTATAATTAATTGAAATAATGTCGGTCAATGACGACTGCTGAACATATATGGATTAATATAAAGATAACGGTGATTGTTGGTAGAATTACATAGCGTAATTAAAAGCAAACAATTAAAATTATTAATTATAGGCGAGTACTGGCGAAATAGTACATAATGTGTTTGTAGTACATGTTGATTGCCGCGGAAATTCTACGTTTGGAACAATACAACAATAAAACCGAGAACTTTTTCGTACCTGTTATCGAAAGTAAAGAAAGATAAATTATAAGGGGAAGAATGTGTATTAGTGTAATTAAAAAAACAAATTAAAAAATTATGGGCGAGTACTGGTGAAGAAGAAAATGCCGATTGCCAATGTTGTTCCCAGGCATTCCTATTGTCGAAAACGAGACGGCCTTGAATGGATCCGGCTAATTATCCCGAGTGTAATTTACATAACAATCCCAACGCTTATCTAATTGCCGGGGGGTGGCCTTCAAAAGAGGGATATGACGTGAAAAAAGGAGGTGGTGCGTCGGGAGGGTACTGGCGCCCGAGTACCAGTCCTATAAATACGGGTGTTCCCGAGTATTCGACGTCGCTAGAACTTGTGCGCATCGGGCCGAGTTGGTTTGGGAGGTGGAATGTGGTGAAAGCCATCAAAGCGTCCTTGATCCTCGCCCCTCGGAAAGGCAGAGTGGTGGGAGGAGTGTGGCTCCCTAACCAGTCCGCCAGTCCAACCGACCGAACCGGTAGGCACGGATCTCGTCTGTAGAGCGTGTACTTACTGAGCCCACGTGTTTTTTTGTTTGGTTTTTTAAATCGTTTCATTTACACCTTTTTTGGAACCGTTTTGAGAAGAAAGATCAAAGCCGGCTCCGCCCGCCGTCTGTCCGGTGGAAAAGAAGAAGCCGTCTTTGACGATGACAGATTTTTTGCATCCCGTGCCTTCTTCTTCGAAGGGACCGCCTCAATGGCGTCCTATTTTCAAAAGGTATACCACGTGCCAATGTTCATTTACGATATACTTTATCACCGCGTCTCATTAAACTATCGCAGTATCCCGTTGACGTTTGTATTTGGATGACTATGGATGCATCCCCTATCTAAACTTAAGAAGTCATTAGTCACAGGCTATGGATACCTTGTAAATGTTAAGACCTTAATCGTAAATTCAATACACCTGAATCCATTTCTTGTATAACCAACGGGCATGTCTCTCAACAAACATAGACACACATACACAACACACGATTAATTAGAAGCTCTTCAAATCAAAGGTAATTAATTCCGGATGTTTAAACCTCGCCCTATTTGTTTACTCGACGTGTTTACCTTGGAACATGCCAAATCCAAATTGGGATCGATTTAGGTTGACTCCCACCCAATTACAGAGAGAAATGTTTATTCAAGATAACAATGAGGAAAACAATTTTTTTTTCGGTCGTATTTTTAATCTGTACTAAGGTCCTCCATTAGTTTAAGAAATGCGCTAACCAAAGCTGAGCATCGGAAAAGTAATGATTTGGTGGGCGGTATGTTTTCTAAAACGTGTTTTTAAACTTCGTCGATTATTAATGGGCGATGCACTATTTCATTAAGATCGTCTCATTCGCTAATAATGAAATACTGAATTTAAATTAATAAAGTAAGTTTGTCACACAGTGCACGTGGGGTTAGTAGACTTATTGCGCGTTAAACGTTGTACTTATGTAACTTAAACGAGAAATATCATCCTAACTAATGAGTCATTTAGTTTTAGAATACTTGGAAAATATTAAGACTAATCGTAAATTCAATACACCTGAATCACAGAATATAGGCTATTCGTACAACCAACGGACATGTCGCATCATCGAAAAACTTCCCACACACAACCTACACTACGCTTAATTAGAAACTCCTCAAAGATAATTGAGACCGGATGTTCTCCCCCTCTTGTTTACCTGGAACACTCCAAATCCAAATTCGAATGGATGTAGGTTGACTCACGCCCAGAGCGAAAGGTTTATTCAAGATAACAATTAGGTAAACACTTTTTTCGGCTGTTTTTTTAAACAATACTAAGGTTCACCGTTAGGTTTTTTGAAATACGCTGACTAAAGCGAGTCATCTGAAAAGTTATAATTTGGTGGGCGGTATGTTTTCTAAAACGTGTTTTTTAAATTTCGTCGATGATTAATGATCGTTGCACTATTTCATTAATATCGTTCCACTCGCTAATAATGAAATACTGAATTTAAATTAATAAAGTAAATTTGTCAAACGTCCAACACGTGGTGGATGTTGACTAATAGACGTCACCTTGCTTTAAACCTTGTACATCACTTACTTATTCAACTTACGCTAGGAATAATTATTCTTTAAACTATTTATTTACGCTGTACAATTATGAACAAATGCTTGTAAATAATTAATATTGTACATCTACTACTTATTATTTATAAAGACTGAATCGTGATCTGTAAGGATGACTAAAGCATGTACTCTGGACTGTTATCGGAAAAAAATAGTTCGGTAAAATAATCATTCCTGGCTAGTGGACTACTGCGTGCTTCTCTACACGATGTAAGGAGACTACGTTTTTATATTTTAATCGTTGAATAGGCATAGCCAGGTGTTAAAACTGCCAGAAATAATGAAGAGGGCTATGAGGGGACGGACAAAGGTTCGATCCGAAAGGTACTGGACCGCGGGACCGGCCCGACAATAAAGTGAACCGCCACTTTTCTATACCTCGTTTTTCAAGGTTCGTCCCACTTTCATTCCAGTCCCCCGAGGTACTCAAATACCAACGAGCGAGTCCATTAGTCATTCCCCCCTCGGCGCGGTCCGACCGTTCGTGACGACCCTCCCCCTTCTATTTCTGAGTCGACGACCTGATTTAGCCTCGTGTGGGGCTTTTCTCTCTACCATTCGCTCCTCCCGAGCTCCTTTGTGTTATTAAAACTTATTTCTTGTTGCTCTTTTCCTTTATTTCGTCTATTTTTCATAGTTTTTTCTTTATATACTGGTTTTTAATGTATTTAATCACTCCTCACGCACTTTTTTGTTATTCCTTTAACCAATTATATATACATATTAATTGTTTGGTATAAAATAAATTAATATATATTTTTTTACAAATTAATCGATTTAAAAATAATTAAATTTTGAAATAATAATCATTATTTTAAAGAATCCAACGTTCTTTTAATTTTGTTTTGTTACCAACGCTACCCCCACTCTTGTATATTCCCCCCACTATGTCGATGTCATTTTTTTATTTTTGCTATTTTTTCCACTTTAATCCATTATTTTTTTTACAATAGGCCACTATTAATTTTCAAAAATATTTTAAAATTGGCAAAATATAATTGTTCATAACACAATACACTTTAAATTACCACATAGATATTTCTCAATGTAGAACGATACGACGAATCACCCCGTATGTAATTGTAATTTTTTTCAATAGATAGGATACGGATATTCTTGTGGGATTTTTGTAACCTTTTTTTCTCGCATTATGCGGGCTGTGTGACTCAATACGCGACCCTAAATTACTCATTCATTGTCTCCTATCGGTCCTTATCGTGTTCCGTTTCCGATTCAGAGGGTATCTCTAGATACAGTTGAAATAATAAAATGAATTGTAGCTTTCCTTCGGGGGGTCTGCCATGACCTGTTTGATCGTTTACGATCATTTTGATCCACCTTTTCTCGCTGCTGCGATCTGTCGTAGGCGTTTTTGCATTTCACCTGAAACAAGTGTACATTTTTATGTAGAAATATTGAAAACTAAATAAGAAACGTTGGGCTGACTATTGAACAGTTTTGCCATTGCGTTGTCTACAATCGACACCAGTTCCCTTCCGATGAAGTTAAAGTGGCAAACTATAAAAGAAACTTAAAAGTTTCAATTTTTAAGATAACCTGTACGATGCTCCGTCTTAATCAGTTTAAATATAGGGTCCCCTGTTTGTTATTTAATAATAAAATATACATTTTAAATAACTGCCACCACTATGCCGAATACAGTGGTTCATGGATTGAGCCTGACTGACCTCGTAGGACTATCCGACGTCTGTTTCAGACTCGATAAATTGAAAGGTAAAATGGAAAATGACTTTCTTGCATTTCTGGTTTTATTGTAAGAATAAACATTTGCAATAAGCCTCCTGCGATCAACCTCGGTCCAAATAGCGTCAATAACCAATATTTGATTAAAACAATAAACCGACATCGATAAATATTGACAGTTCATTTCATTCCAGAACACTGCGCCTTTATATAGTTTTTTTATTGATATCCGCACACAAAACTTTTTCTGAAAGTTTGAAATGATGATAATTGTGTCTGGATTAAGCGAGAGAGAATCGCAATGCCACTGGATAATTAAGACTGCATTGAGTTGTCCTATGGACTGCGCATGACACCAGACATCGCCCTTGTTAACTTCGTCAGCAGGTTGGGAGTGTTTAACGTCATTCCACTGATTAATGTATCGCGGAGAATAACTGGACGTTTTATATTTTTAGATTCTATAAATGCGACTGCAAAACGTCGTGAACTGAAAAATCTCTTTCTCACGGTTGTTTTGTCAAAGGCCATGACTTTTATGTACTTGCTGTGTCAAACTGCTTCTTAATCTTAACAGTCTTAAGTTCTTCTTAAGTATCTAGTTGTGTACAACTACCTATCTCCTTTGCCCTTATTTTAACTTAATCGAAATTCAAGACATTATACCATTACATGCTGGCATATATCTGCAATATGGTACGATCTGTATAATATCAAAGAAAATCGAGAATATTTAAAAATTTCTCGGCAAGCTTAGTAGAGGGTTTTTCTTCTAAAACTTCTCACTAAAGTCAAATTGATTGAGTAGATTTGGATCAATTCTTTGGGGTAGCTAGCAGTCGGTTCCCCAGTCTTGCCAGATATCACGGTGTTCTTTTGGTGAAGCAAGTGCCATGGCTTAAATGTTTCACTGTTTATATCAGAACTGTCAAACTGCTTTTTAATTCTAACAATCTTCCGGGCTTCTTAAGTCTCTGGTTTGTACAACTACCTTTCTCCTTTGCCCTTATTTTAACTTAATCGAAATTCAAGACATTATACCATTACTCTACATTCTGGCATATATCTGCAGTATGGTACAATCTGTATAATATAAAATAAAATCGAAAAAATTTAAAATTTTCTCGGAAAACTTTGTTAAGAGGGTTTTTCTTCTGAAATTTCTCACCAAAGTCAAATTGATTAAGTAGATTTGGATCAGTTCTTTGGTGTAGCTCGCAGTCAGTTCCCCAGTCTTGCCAGATATCAAGGTGTTCTTTTGGCGAAGCAAGTGCCATGTCTAAAATATTTGTTTCACTGCTAATTAAACGGAATTTTATGTGACTGTTATACCTCTCAACTTGGTTAAACATTTCTTTAATGGCGGCCATGGCGAGGTTGAGCACTTGAGTACTTCACCGGTAATTAATTGATCAATAAACATGTGGAAAACGATATATATTTTTTATAAATAGTCCTTTGTAAAATTTGTATCCAGTTTTCAGTTTTCAGTCAGAAAGTTGGTAAATACTTGTAAATTGCAGAGCTGAAAATGTCATCCTTTAAGAACCATAAAGGATACAACTTGATTAGGTTTAGTTTCTGTACGGTATAATTCAATATACATAATTTTCTCCCTTGTTTGTTTAAAAAAATCGTCCTGTAATATCTGTATGTATCTGAATGATAAATAAGTATCACGCAAGTTTTTGACCTCGATAATGTCACCTCCTTAATGCCTTTTGAACATCTTGTTATATCATTTATAAATGATTGTTTGTAGCAAAATAAAGAATATTTTTCAACAGTGTAAATTTTTGATCGTTGCTTTTGACGGCTACGGTGACACAAGATAGGCCCTTTGAAAATAGAAAGGGGAGCATAGAGTAGAACATCTGACGAAGTTGCTCAGATCGATAGGGCCGGGCTCCCCCCCTCCCCCAGGTCGCACAA